TCAAAGATGGGCAAGGGAGAGTGGTGCGTGCCCCATCTGCAGCGCCGAGCTACCAGCCGACCTTCGCAGGCTGTCCGAGTTTGGCAGTCGCGGAAGTCCAGACTCCGGTCGTGGTGCACCCTGCTCGTCTGAGCTGATCGTGCCCTTGCACCTGCACGTCCGGCGCTGCCCCGGCTGTCACGGCCCCATTGAGAAGGTGGGAGGCTGCAACCAAATGCGCTGTCGCTGCGGCCAGCAGTTTGACTGGCGGGAGGCCGCACCCGTGACGTCCCGAAATAGCCTTCGTGTTGCGATGCCCGAAGGACCGGTACCGCGGCTCGTCTGCGCGATTGGGATCACCTGGTGGTGCGGAGGCACGTTTGCCCTCAAGTGCGTGGCCACCACCATTCTTGTGTGCGGGGCAGTCTGGCTCGTCTGCTGTGCACTTGTCGCGTGGGTCGTCAACGTCGTGCTTCAGGCGATAGGCGAGGCGATCGCCGAGGGATTGCGCGAGGGGCTACGCGAGGCGATTCGGGGAAGGTGACCACGGTAGTGGTTGACTGTAGGGTGGCTGTGGGTGGCTGGTACGGTGCTCGACCAGAACAGGAGTACCACAGACACAATTGTCGCGTGCACCGCACGCGGGCCACAGAGGAAGTCCACAAGAGGGAGGCGTCTCGTCGGTCATATGTTCCGATATCGGCTTTGATACCCCCTGTATCGGAGTTATGGCACACTTAGGAGCTGTTAACGTGAAGAGAGTGGTACCAGAACTGTGGGTCGTTGCGGCACGCATGGGGGGCCTCCCGGACGTATGATCCTAGCCCAATACGTCCCACGGAGCACATTTCGATTTTTGACAGAATTAAATGCACTGCCCCCGCACGGTACTAATAGTCGTAGTTTTGGCACCGCTGCCCTTCACGGCACCACACCGCCGCTTGACAGCCCGGGATTAGCCTAGCAGCGAGTGGGCATCGCCTGCCGGTCGGCTGGGCACGAGCCAAGCACTTGGGCGGCCGTCAACCGAGTCCGAGCGGCGCCTGAGGCGGGTGCCACGGCGTCTGCACGAAGGCGTGGCGGGGTGAGGAGCCAGGAGTGGTGAACACCTCCCCGTCGGGCGCGCGGCGCGCCGGATGGTCCGCCGAGGCCGCCGCCGCCCCGGCGGCGGCGATGGGGGCGGCGGGGCCGACCCGGCCGGCGTTTGTCGGCTCCACCTACAGAAGAGCAGTCTCTGTGGGTCGACGATACTAACTCGGTAGTAACGCGGAGCGGTGCTGTGCGGCGCCGAGTTGTGCGCGAGGCGACCTTCTGAGGCTACCTGAGCTGGCAATGGATGCCACCAGGACGCACGGCTAGCAGGAGCCAGTCAGGCATGCCCTGCTGTGGAGCAGAGCCGGCTGGCGCACCGGCGATACTAACTCAGCGCGCCGCGAGAGGCGAATCTGGGCGACTTTGGAGGCGCAGTTCTCGAGCTTGCCGTCGACGATTGATGTCGGGTAAATTGTCACTGCCGTCGGGGAAGGTATTCTCTCAGCAGGCCGAGCGCCGTGGCCTGGCTCGGCTCGCTGCGAACGCCGCGAATTTATCAGTGCCAAAACTCAAAAAAAATGGTACTAACGAAGACTACGATACAGGGGGTAGCGAAATATTCGTACTGTCTCTCAACGGAGGATAAATAGGCACTCCAACACGCGTACCAGCAGCTCTGAACTCTAGAACTCAACCGGCCGTCCATCCGTGTACCGCAATATCCAATAAATATCAACAACCGAGCGGCAGCCTCTCTCAACTGCGCCGCTCCTCACGCCGCTGCCACCGCGCCGCCAACGGTCTGGTGCACAATCTCGCGCGTGCCGTGCATCTTGCCCATCCCCTCCTGCGTCGCGTGGCCGTGCGAGCCCAGGTTGATCTGCGAGATGCCGTCCGTGCCGAGCCCGTCGATGCCCTTGATGTTGGTCGTCCGGTCGATGTTCTTCGACGTGTCAAACGTGCCCGCCTGCGAGGCGTGCCCGTGCGAGCCCATGCCGACCGCGGTCGTGGTGCCGTCGCCGCCGAGCCCGTCGATGCCCTTCACGTGGTCGACCTTGCTGATGTTCTTCGACGTGTCGAAGGTGCCCGCCTGCGAGGCGTGGCCGTGCGAGCCCATCCCCACCGCCGTCACGCTGGCGTCGGTCCCCAGGCCGCCGATGCCCTTCACGTGGTCCACCTTGCCGATGTTGCGGCTGGTGTCGAAGGTGCCCGCCTGCGACGCGTGCCCGTGCGAGCCCATCCCCACTGCCGTCACGCTGGCGTCGGTCCCCAGGCCGTCGATGCCGCGGACCTTGTCCATCTTACCGATGTTGCGGCTGGTGTCGACGGTGCCGGCCTGCGAGGCGTTGCCGTGCGATCCCTTGCCGAGGAAGGTCTGCTCCGCCCGGCCCTTGCGCAGCGTCTCCTCGTCAAAGTGCCGCACCGACTTGTCCGCAAGCTTCGCCCCGAGGGTCGGGCCGCCGTAGCCGGGCACCTTGCCGCTGACGCGGCCGAGCGAGTGGATGTTTGTGATGACGGCCATCATGTCCTGGTTCTCGTAGAGCGAGACGGTCTGGAAGAGGTCGTGCTTCGGGACGCCCAGCGCGCTGCACGCCTCGAGGTACTTGGCGATGTTCTCCATCTGCTGGAACGCCATCTTCATTGTCGACGGCTTCTTGCAGACGCCGGGCTTGAGCGCGTTGACGAGGGCGCAGAGGACGACGCCCGACTTGAGCGCCTCCTGGAGCGTGCCCTCGAGCGCCTCGCCCGTCACCGCCTCGATCCACTCCCGCGCCTCGCGCTCCATCTTCGGGTCAAACTTGGCCGCCGCCTTGTCGGCGAGCTCTTTGTCCATGCCGTAGAGCGGGATGCCGTCCTCGCGCTTCGCGGCGCCGTCGTAGCCGGCGTGCACCGCGTTGCTGACCGGCTTGGTGGGCACGCGCGTCGACATGAAGTGGTGGTCCGTCATTGTTGAGGGTTCGACTGAGAGTGCGAGTTGTGGACGTGCGAGTTTTGAGCTTCCTTGCCCTTGATCACGTGGACTGCGCGCGGCGGAGCCTGCCGAGATGCTTACTTCGCCGCCCGAATCAGCCATTGTTTCCGCATTCATGCGTCATGGGAGTCATGAGTTCGAACCAGTCTGGGGCGATTCCCGCCCGTGCGTGGCGGGCGGCGGTCAGTTTATAGGTCAGTGGCATAGATAGATCGCGCGGGGCGGTCGGTCGTGAGCTCTGTCTGGGCCGGCTGTGAGAGGGAAAGTGTTCAATTGGTAGAAAGAAAGAAAGAAAGAAAACGGACAACCCAAGCGAGGGATGGGAGGACGGCACGCCGCCACCACACAGGGATTTTAAGGAGAGGTGTGTGGTGCGCTAGCCGTCGCCCACCCTTGGGCGTCCGCCTCTTCCTATCTCTCTTCGCAGTCTCTCGCCGATTCTCGCTGCGACCTTCATGCCACCTCGCGGTCGCCCCCTTCTCGTCGTTCTTTCCCTTGTCGCTTCTTCCTCTGTCGCGTCGCTCTCCTCTGCCTCGTTCTGCGACGCCGCCGTCGCATGCCGGTCCCTTGTTCTCGCGGCTTGTTGCGCCTTTCGGCGCAGCTCCGCCCTCCTCGCTGCATATCCTGGCCCCTCGAGTCTATCGAGCTCTCCTCGCGCAAGGACAAGTCTTCTGACGCCCACTGCGATCATTTGCCACCCAGTCATGTCGTTGCTCAGGTCCAACTCTCTCTTCGAACACTTGTGCCTTCACGGATGATGCTGGCGCTGGGGTCCCCTTCGGGTGCATCGTGACAGCTGACGACGGGATTTCCACTGGTTCATCCTCCTCTGAGTCGTCTTCCCCGGCTTCCTTCCGCTCGGCTCTACGTTCGGTACGTTCGGTGCCTTCCCCACTGTCTGTAGTTCTCTCGTCACAATTGGTAGAGACCGACCGCCGGGCATGTTTTTCTTCAAAGCTAGGCACCGTTGTATCCCCCTGGATATATATATGTGGCGTTGCAGCTCTCTTGCCGGCGGAGCTCTGACAGCTCTGACAGCATATTGTCACACGACAGCGTGATGAGCCTCGCGCGTTCGATATCTACCCTGGCCTTCGTCGTCTCTGCCGTGGTTCACCTCGGCCTCGTCCAGTCCGCCGGTGGCCTGCTCGACTCGTGCAACGCATTTGGCTTCGTCGGCGTATCTGCGGAAGAGTGCCACGCGATTACAACGTCTGTGCAGCGGACTGGCGGCCAGGCGGAAAAGGACATGCTCGCGCTCGCCTTCGCGGCGATGCGCGGCGAGTGCTGCCAGTTCATCGGGATGGGCGCGGGCTCGGTGTACGCCCTGCTCTTCCTCTCAAAGGGCACGGATGAGGCAGGCAAGCTTCGGAAGGGAGATTTGCGGTTGATATCAAACGCGGCAATATCTGCACAATAGGTGGCGGTAATCCACTTCATGCACTCGGTGTGGGCCTGCATTGTTCAGGTGGCTTCTCACAAAACCACATTCACAACTGATTCACAACAGGGCCGGATTTCACCGCTCTCACACGCCACGGGTTCCCGGCTGAGAGAATGTGGCATCTCCAGGTGGTCAACTCGCAGAACGCAGGACTGTTGCCCTTCCTGCCCGCAGCGGCAGACGAGTACGACCCGGTGTCCGGTGCCAAGCTCAAGCCCTTCCTCCTCCTCGTCGGTTGCCAGGCCGTCTTGTATGTGGCCGCCTTCCTCCTCTCGCGAGGCAACGGGCGCGTCGCCAAGAGCAAGGATGCGTGAGGGCGCCCAAGCGCACAGCCAGAAACTAAGGCGTGACTGAGAAAGTGAGCGTGCTAGACCTCACAGCTACGTACCGTACACGTACGACAGAAGGGTGTGGACGTCTCGTCGTCGACGTGCCACATGCGCAGTGCGCGCGACGACACTCGACAGACACTCAATCTCAGAGTGCCAGCGGAGAGCGCGAGCAAAATGAAAATTTCTTTCCAGTATGTGTGTATATATACGAAGCGCCTACATGTGGTGTTGGCTGGCCGTTCCCACGTATACACGTCTCTCTCGAAAACGAAAATGCAGACAGCCCGAGACAGGTGCCACGGCTAGCCCACGCGCCCCACGGCCCACGCGAGCGGGGCAGACCAAGCGTGAACACTCTCCCTCGTGTCCCTGCTGCCACCTGCTGTGTGAGCGAGCCTCAAGGGCAGCCTCCAGACAACGGTGGACAGGATATACACATTCGTGCTACGAGCTGCGGCTTCGGGTGGATTTCGTTCGCACCGCTAGTGCATGTCCATTGGCTTGGGGGCGGTAAGGGTCATCCCCTTGCCGAAGTCGGGCTCCGGACCAATCAGCCCGGCGGCGTAGAAGTACGGCGTGTACGACGCGTTCCCCGGATTGGAGGCGACGGCAGCCTCGATGTACTCCTGAAGCAGGGCGGGCCAGAGCGGTTATGTGGCGCTGCTCCAGCGTGAGAGATCTTGGGGTGCCGTGAGCTGCAGGTGTTGGGTGCGTGTGGTGGTGCGGGGGGGGGGAGGGGGGGGGGGGGGGTCTCATCGCCTTCGACGAGAAGTTGTAGCCGACGGCAAACTTGCCCGGCTCCCACGTCGGGATGACGTTGAAGGCCATCAGGCAGAGGATGCACGAGGGCACCGGGAAGTGGGCCTTGAAGCCCATGTTGTAGTCGTTGAAGACGCGGAGGCTCCACGTGGCGTCGGGTCCGTCGGCCGTGATCTCGGCGATCCCGAGTGCGGCCGGCGCCGCGGGGTACATCATGTCGGTACCGTACTGGAAGTGCGTGCCGCCGAAGGAGAGCATGCCCGGCTTGATCTTGCGCTTCGAGATCCAGATCATCGGCGGGCTGCCTGTTGCAAAGCCCGCGGCCGTCTCGGCGCCGGGCGACTTGAGGAAGCCGCGCGTCTCGGTGCCAAACTCGTACTTGCACTTGGGGTCGGCCTCGAGCGCCTCCTTGACGGCCGCGTCCCAGCCGCCCCAGACGACGCAAAAGTCGCTCTCCGGCCCGCCCGCGTAGCAGGCGGCCAGGTCGGCCGGCACCGCAGGGAGGTCGGACGCGGAGTCGGCCCAGGTGAACTGCACGACGGTGTTGTCCGTGTCGCGGTCGACGAAGGAGAAGCAGGCGCGGACGCCAGTGCCCTCCATCGCGGCGGTGCCGTACTTTGTAAAGGCGGCGGTATAGGTGGAGAGGTCCGCGACGGTGCGCTTGGCGAAGATGACGACCGGCTTGGAGGAAGCCGACGGGCGCTTTGGGTCGGTGGCCACGCAGCAAACGCCGGTGGCGTCGCTGAGCTTGTAGCACGGCTGGAAGCACGGGCCGAGCGAGACGAGAAGCGGGATCGCCACGGGTGCCAGCTTGCCGACGACGGCGTCGTACTTGTAGCATGGCGAGGGGAAGGGCACAGTGAGGGCAGGAGGCGCGTGGCGGAGCACGACGGCTTCCGCGACGTGAGAGACGGTGTGAGCGCCAGCGTGCCGCAGTGTGAAGGAGGCGTGGCCTGCCGCTCTACGGGAAGACTACGGCGCACGTGAGTCACGGTGATGCCGCTCGAGGCGCTGAGGAATGAGTCGCCCAGGCAGCACGGGCAGCACAGGCACGGGCAGAACGGCTGGCCAAAAGCGGGCGCTCCGGTGACGCAGTTGAAGTTGGCCATCACGCAGTGCCGCAGATATCAGCGGCGGGGCCTCCTGCGGAGGTGTCTCGGTCAGAGGGGGGAATCTGTGTGCCTCACGCTAGAAAGCCGTTCACACCAAGAACCGCGTATTCTTTTTCCAGACAAGCGCCCGTCGCGAGCACGTGAATAGCTTCTCAACGCTGGCGCGAGAGCCAGGGCGCACGAGACGGCGCTCACACGCACACACGCGGGGCGGCCACACCGCGCACACGCTCGCGCCTCGCGGACATCGATTGGCCTTTATACGTTTTTCTCGCCCAGTACTATCTATATTCTTTTCCCGTATTCTTTCCGTATTCTTGCCCCAAACAGGGTCTATATTCTCGAATATGCCAAGAATACAGCTCCAAATCGGGCCTATATCGCTTCGAAAAAGAATATAGAATGCGAAGAATAACGTATAAAGGCCAAGACATCGAGGGCGGACGGGCGCAACCCGCAAGCATTTCTTGTCCACCCTTCGACTCAATACTGTCCGTGAGTGCGAGATAGGGCTAGCAGTAGGCAGCTAGCCTCTGAGGAGGTCGTCCATAGACACCTCACTAGACCCCACACACGGTCTCGTCCGTGCCTCGCCGGCCGGCGAGATTGCTAGAGGTGGAGCAAGCTGCTCTAGCCTCGCATATTACATCCTGTCGTCTGTTGTGATGTTGTGCCCTTGTTTGTTTCTCTTGGCACCTTGGAGTGCTGGGGGGGGGCGACAGGAGGATGTGGCCTTGAGTTATGTGTACGCCAACTCAGGGTGTGTGGCAGCCAGCTGGCTGTGTGTCTTGTGAGCTTGTTTGTGTCTGTGTGTCGCTCGTGCGTGTCGTCATCATCTGTCTTGCGTCCACCCATACCGCGTTGGTGTCCAGTGCAGTCCGAGCCTGGCTGTTCTTCACACTTCACCTTTCTACCTACCTCTACACCAGCTACTACTCAATGTCGCCGCGTGTGAGTGGTTGGAGAGCGTCGGGGAGACGACGCTCGAGACACGAGAGCCGACACGAGGCAACCACGAGGCTCAGCTTACTCTAGGGCTCAGCGCGCAGCCGCTCCCTCCAGGCTCCAGAGGGGCTCCACCACACCACTCACCAGGATCCAGGACCAGCAGCGCGCGCCACTCGCACTGCCAGAGCCAGTCGTGCTGCCAGTGCTCACCGCGTCCCGCGCGGCGTCGCCGGCGCTAGGCATCCGCCCCCTGGATAATTAAGTGCGAGCCCGGGGCTAGTAAGCACTCGGCCTGTGACAATCTTTGTCATGCTCTCGTCCACTACGCCGCACGACACAGGGAGGCACATATGAGACGGGGCGGATGGGTCCCGCCAACGAGAGAGCCCGCAACACACTTCTGTGCCTGTGTTTCCGTACTTCACTCGGCCGGCTCCTCGGCTGGCGGCGCTTGACTCGCAAGCGGAGCAGCGGCCGCGCCCTCTCCTACCGGCGCCGGTGGTGCCGCCGCCTCGTCCTCGACGGCTGCCGGTTCGGGCGCGCTCGCGCTGAACGAGTACTTGGCGTTCGCCTCGGCGTTGAGCCTTTTGATGTAATCCTGCCCGGGCAGGATCGAGGTTGGCCGTGCAGCCCAGGCCTCAAACTCTGATGGCAGCGGCACCGAGACGGCAGGGAGCGATGGGAGGTCGAATGCCTCTGCCCGGCGCTGGCTCATCGCTGCGAGGGCGGCCGGCAGTGTCGCGAGCGTCGCGCGACGGCTCGCCGCGGGTGCGATGCGGAGCCCGTCCGCCAGGGATAGGGACAGCAACAGCACGCACATCGACACCATATCAGCGGCGGCGTCGGAGATCGAGCCGCAGAAGAAGAGAAAGCTCATGCCGTGCTCCAAGTGCGATCGAAATCAAGGGACATTATCCCATCGCTCCTTCTCTCTTTTCTTTCTTTCTTTCTTAGGGACATTCTGCACCCGAAGGGGAACCCAGCGCCAGCATCATCCGTGGAGGTACAAGTGTTCGAAGAGAGAGTGGACCTGAGCAACGATATGACTTGGCGGCAAATGATCGCAGTGGGCGTCAGAAGAGTCATCCTTGCGCGAGGAGAGCTCGATAAACTCGAGGGGCCAAAATATGCCGCGAGGAGGGCAGAGTTGCGCCAAAAGGCGGGAGAATACAGAAGCCGCGAGAGCACGGGATCGGCAGGCGGCGGCAGCGTCGCAGGACGAGGCAGATGAGAGCGACGCGACAGAGGAGGAAACGACAGGAAGGAGGGAGAATGCTCGACGGGAGGGATGGGCTGCCTGAAGTGGACATTGGGCGCGTGGTGGGGTGGGAAAACGTAGGAATGTCACTGACTCGGGCGGGCGTAGAGCGGGAAGTGTCCTGCGTTAATTCTTTTTTGAAGTACGCCTCGAAGTTGCTTTGTCAGCCTCTCTCCCGACTGGAAGAGCCCCCCCCCCCGCCCCCCCTCCCCAACCTTTCACGCCCCCCCCCCCCCGTCGAGCCGAGGCGGCGCACACACCCCCTGCTTTCTCCTGCAGGTGGAGGAAAGGCGCAATTCAGAATGATGGGCTTGCCCATCCCGGAGTGGTTCGATCCCACACAAACCCGAGACGGTGACGGGAAGCGTACGGCGGTCTCAGGCCCGTCAGGCCCAGTGAGGTAGTGCGCCAGTCTAACCCGGATCCTGCTGAACAAGCTCCTCTTGTAGCTCGATCGGTCACACCGCCATCGCCGTCGGGGAGAGGGGGGACGACACTGCCTCGGCAGCGTGCACCTCGATCCTGCACCGTGTTTGTTATGACCCCCCCCAATGAACACACCAGTGAGGGAGGGCGAGACGATCGTGGGGTCCCGTACCATGCGGAACTGACCCTATCCAGTGCTCAAGTGCTCAAGGAGGGAGAACGACGAGAGTGGGACGACCGCGAGGTGGCATGAAGGTTGCAGCGAGAATCGGCGAGGGACTGCGAAGGGAGATAGAAAGAGGCAGACGACCAAGGGTTAGGGTAGGCGAGGGCTAACACCACACTCCTCTCCTTAAAATCCCTGTGTGGTGGCGGCGTGCCGTCCTCCCCTCCCTCCCTTGGCTTCTCTGTTTTCTTTCTTTCTTTCTTTAAGGGACATTCTTTAGTTCCAGAAATGGTTCTAAAGAAAGAGCCGCCAAAAGAAACCAAACCTCAAGCAAAAGAAACCATGCGTCACCTCCGCGCGCTCCACCCAGAGCCATCGCCCTCGACGCCACATTCGGTGTCGTTGCGATCTGCAGCCCCGACTACGCCGCCAGCTCGGGCTTCCTCGCCGCGCTTCGCGCGTACGCGAGCCGGCACGGCCTGCAGACCCACCTGCACGAGGCGTCGCTGCTGCCGAAGAGGTCCATCCCGCTCGCCTACTCCAAGCTGCCGGCGCTGGTGCAGGCCCACGCGCAGTCGACGGCCACTTGGCTGTGGTGGGTTGACTGCGACACGGCCATCCTCGACGAGAGGCGGCCGCTCAGCGACGTCCTGGCTGCTGCGCTCACCGCCGCGGCTGAAAGCGGCGACACCGCCAACGGCGTTGCGAGCGATGACGGCGGAAGGAGGTGGAGGCCTGCGATAGCAGCGGGCACCCGCGCCGCAGCCACCCCCGAGCTGCTCATCGCGTACGAGCCGTGGGGCGTGGACAGCAGAATCGAGGAGCCGGAGGAGCCGTCTCCGAAGCGGTCGATCCACGAGCTCTTGCGCAAGAGACGCGGCGCGGTCGCTGCGGCGCAGGCGAGGCTGGGCCACCCGATCAACACGGGCTCCTTCTTCCTGCGCCGCGGACCCTGGGCCGAGGCGCTGCTCCGGCGCTGGTGGGCCGCGTGCAACGAGACGATTCGGATCGGCCACCGGTGCGGCTCGCACCGCCCCGCTGTAGCAGTAGCACCGCTGCACCGCCCGCGGCAGGAGCAGCGCCGGCAGCGCGCCCCCATCTCGGCCGTGTGAGGAGGGAGGTTCGACGCCCGTAGGCGGGCCGCGCCGCTCTGGGACCAGAGTGCGCTGCAGCGCCTCCCCGACTTTGCGCCGCCGCCGCTCGGTCACACCGGACCGTACCACGTCGGCGCCGGCGGCGCCGGCGTCGCGCTGCCACACGCACCGTTCAACGAGCAGCTGTGCGGGCCGCGCCCCCTCTCTCGCCCTCTCCAGGTCGCCTCGCCGCCGCCGCCCCACCACCACCCCGCCCCGCCGCCGCGCCAGGTGCGCCTCCGCCGCCTCGCCGCCGTCCCTGCTCTGCAGCCCGCCTCACGGAAGCAATGGCTGCGCTCGGCCCGCGCCCTTCCTACTCCACCTCTCCCGCGGGCGATCCTCCCTCGGTCGGTGCTCGCCCGACTGGGTGCAAGGCATCCCTCCCGAGTACAAGTCGTGGCTGCGCGAGGCGGCGGCGCCCGCCGGCCTCGGCTTCGCGGCGCTCCGCCTCGCCTGCTGCAACAAGTTCCCGCTGCGCGGCCAGCTGGCGCGGAGAGTTGAGGGCGCTCTGGGTGTGCAAGACAGTGAGGTGTGGGCGCGGGTCGGCGCGGCGGTGCCAAACGAGACGGCGCGGGAGGCGGCGCGCGAGTGGTACCGTAGGTACAAGCACATGGCGAGAAGGGAGGAGCCGAGTGTCAGTTGAGACGCTTGAGTGTAGTTGCGAGAGGCCTATACGGCTCTGTTGAGACCGCACAGTACGATCGCGCAGTACTAGTTCATTGACCATTACTTGGAGTTTTCCCGAACCCTCGAAGCTGGAACCGTGTGGAAGCGGCGCGGCGCGCGTGTTAGCTATTAGCTATTCGTATTATAGCATTCTTTAGCAACGCGGCGGAGCGCGGAGGCAGCCGGAGGGACACGTAGCACGTCGCAGTGCGTACGAATGAAAGAGGGTGCTCGAAGGAGCTCAAAGGCGGAAGGGGGGGCTGACTTTTGAGCCAGAGAGCATGACACGCGTCGCTACTACATTAAGCGAACTACCACCGAAAGGGAGAGCAACTAGCAAGCCGCATGCGACATGCACATGCACAACAACATGTACATGTGCATGGCACATGCAAATGCACATGCACATGCACATGCACAACAACAACATGTACATGTGCATGTGCATGTGCATGTGCATGTTGTGTGCCGTAAGTCCCGTAGATCTGGGACTGGGTCAATCGCCCTCAATCCGCGCTGTCCTTGAGCATGGACATGCGTGACGGCGAGTCCGGCAGTTGCACGGTAAACAGCAAGGGGGGAGCTGCAGCTTGAACCCTTGCATCGGGTGCATCAGCTCGCTCTCGCCCGCTTCGCGGGGCATGCTGTGCAATCGCTTTGGCTTCCACATCCGGAGGCTGCAGGAGCGCTGGCGCCGGCGCCGTTGGTCTTCGCCGCTGCCAAGTGGGAGTGACGTGCGCTTGCTTGGTCTGAGCGGCGCCTCCCGGCCGATTGGCCGCCTCGGGCTCCACGGTGAACTTCGGCTGATTGGCCACCTCGTGGACGGTGAATACTGCGGGCTGTGCCGACGCAGATGCAAGTGCTGGTCGTCCGCAAGCGGCGTTCGTCGATTCCGGTGGGATCAACAAGCTGTCGTTGCCGCTGGCCAAGCCCGCGACCGCTGGCGATGTGGGCGCCGCATCATGCACAGGCGGAGATGATGGGCTCGCTCGTCTCGACCACGGCGACGATCGTGCGCTGGATCTGGAGCTTGTTGTGCCTACATATAACAACGGGAACGATTTGGCGGTATGAGAGTGCTAAGCGAGTGAAAACCACCCTCGCCCAATTGCGAACCCGAGTCTGGCGACGTGGCGCTGCCATCGCTCTTGTCACCGCCACGGAGGGATCGCCACACACTGCCGATGCCCCACCGCCTCTCTGCCGACCGCGCACCACCTCCGCTCTTCTCAGCTTTCTCGGCCGCACGGCCTGCCTGGACTTGCTCTGATCCCACCCCGACGTGGGATCTTTGCGCCGTCGCAATCCCTGCCGGCGCCAGCGCAGCGTCGCCCTCGCTGCGTAGATCTGCACCCAGACTGATGGCAAGCGGTGCTGTACCTCTAGGCTGGATCGGCGTCTCTTGTGGTGGCAGGGGCGAGCTGGATGGCGACGGCAGTTGAAGTGCTGGGGCGGTCTGCAGCCTTGCAGGCGAAGGCGCCACGACAAAGAACGGAGTGCTGCCCTTTCCCTCAGTCGGCACTTGGCCATTGGGTGACTCAAATGGCAAACCATGCCCGTGCAACGTCAGCTCATCACCCTCTGAAGTCTCGAAAGCACCCGGTTGCTGTGGTGTGAGAGGCCGGATGGGAGAGGAGACATCACGAGCGACGGCTCCCGCCTGGCCCGACGCAATACCTGGTGCTGGTGCTTCCAAAGCGTCCGTGCGCGACTGCGAGCTGGTCCGATACCCGCGCTGGATCAATCTAGCGGCGCCTTGGAGAGCGCCAAGTTGGCACTGTAGGCCATCGAGCGCTAGGCGCCTCTCGGGGTCGCCGTGCAGGAGGGCGTGCCTGCGGGTGAAAGCAAGCGCGGCGTCGGTAGGTCTATGGGGATGGGAGACACTTGGACGGGTCGCTGTGCACGTGTCGGCTAGACGGCACAGCGAGGGCGGGTGCGGGCTCGAAGCCAGCGCAGCATGGTCGTATGCCCCTGCGCGCAACACTTCGCAACGGGTCGGCCTCGGGGGCAGCCTCGGGGAAAGGCATCGGGTGTACGCGCGCCTGTCGTTATTGCCATCACTAGCGCGCCGAGCGCTCCGTTTGGCGCGCTGAAGGGCCGCTTGAGCGTGAGAAGCTCAAAGAGGATGACCCCGAGCGCCCAGACGTCACTCGGTTGTGAGTAGGGCAAGCCGCGCACTAGCTCGGGCGAGAGGTAGTATGGCGTGCCGCACATAGTCTCGGCGAGGTGAGTCTCGGTCGAGAAGAGACGCGAGACGCCGAAGTCGCCCAGCTTCACGTTCGGCTCCGCCTCGTCAGTCAGGAAGACGTTTGCCGTCTTGAGGTCGCGGTGCAGGATTCTGCGAGCGTGGACGTGCCGCAGGGCAGAGGCGAGACCGGCGATGAAGCGCACGACTGTGGCGGTACCGAAGTGCAGCTTGCTCGCTGCGTTCACCGCGAGTGCATCCGCGAGCGTGCCGCCGGAGGCGTACTCCATCACAATGGTGAGCACCCGCTCAGACACAAATGAGTCTATGTACGCGACGATCCGGGGATGCTGGAGCTGGCTCAGGATCTGCACCTCGTTGCGAAGCCTCTCCGGCTCCGCGGCCTCGGACTCGTCCAGCGCGATCTGAGGGCGGACGGGTGAGGGTCGGGTGGCAGAAATGTGTCGAAGGATGGGCCGCATTGCGCTCCGCTCGCCTCCTTGGCGACGACAAGCTCGCTGCTGGCTGGGTCGCGTAGCAATATTGCCGATCCGTGCTGTCCGCGCCCGAGCACTCTCAGTCTTGGGAACGAGCCGTAGCGCGTGCGGGCATCCGGCAAGTCGTCCGCGATCACCCCACGCATGTATTGATCGTTTCGCCCCGCGAGGGAGAAAACAGGTTCGCTCCTGGCCATAGAGAACACGCCTGCGTCCGATCACGTTACACTGGCGAGAAGAGGCTCTCTCGGCTACGGGACCGGCCCCAGCTTCGGCTGAGGGCTGACAAGCTGCCGAGCCCAAATCACTGTGAGAGTCGTGATTTCTTGTTGGTTAATAAAAATATCTCTCTCTGGCGAGGCACTCCACGCAGCGGGGTACCCCATGCTACCCAAGCTCAATTTTATATAGCAGGGCCCGCCCCCTGTTCAGTCTAGCGTAGACTGAACAGGCGCTCGTGCAAGCCCTACCGCATCCGAAAGTCGCATCTGAGGCGGCGGGCCCCCGTGGCGTGACCCAGCGGAGCACTCCTTCGCCGCTCGTCATGATCGGTAATGTCCGAGCAGCTGTGCGGACGGCTTCTTGTCGCTCTCGTCGAGAGCGTTTTGGCGGCCCGGCGGGTGGGAGAATCTGTGTGGTCTGATGTGTCACTGTGTACGTCACATCAGTCTTGATAACAAGCACGGTCAATCCGTCAAAGCGATACACTCGTTCCTATCTCGCTGGAGGGCTGGCACGGAGCTCTGTACCGACAAACAGGAAGAGCCGAGCGGCAAGAAGGGCTCGATGGGGAGCGAGAAGCGTCAGAAGAGCTTCAGGTGGGACCTGAAGTCCGTCGTGACGCTCTTATTTCCCCCCAGGTTTGACCGCGCAGCTTTCAAAACTCGACGATATCTTCCGGAAAGACTGAACTTCCCGCAAGCTCGGCAGCATGAGAGGCGCAGAGAGGCTGCGAGTGCTCGACGAGTCTTGCGAGCTGCGCGGTCAAACCTGGGGGGAACCGACCGCATCAGGGCGGATTTCCGAAACCTCCGTGAGCACCTTTGACGGCTCTCGCTCCCCATCGAGCTCTTCTTGCCGGACGGCTCTTCCTGTTTGTCGGTACAGAGCTCCGTGCCAGCCCTCCAGCGAGATAGGAACGAGTGTATCGCTTTGACGGATTGACCGTGCTTGTTATCAAGACCGATGTGACGTACACAGTGACACATCAGACCACACAGATTCTCCCACCCGCCGGGCCGCCAAAACGCTCTCGACGAGAGCGACAAGAAGCCGTCCGCACAGCAAGCCGGTGGAGCCGAGCGCGCGGAATCGACGATGGCGTGCCGGCCATGGGCCCGGACGAAGGTCCTGGCTCGAAAACGCGAGCAGAGGCTGCCGTGTGGGGCCACGGCGAGCCTCGGGCGAGAAAGACAGCTCTCGGTAGAGAGGAGCTGCTATATAAAAATCCGGCTTGGGTAGCGCCCGGGGGGCGAGGAAATCGAGATGCGGCGCCTGTAGAGGCCATCCAGGGCCGTGTCGGCAGCCTTGCCGATATGGCATCGAGCACCGCCCCGTCGGCGCCCGGATGCATCTCGTGGTGCAGCCTGACCGAAATCACAGACTTCCTCGAGCGGCTGCCCATAGTGCACGACACGAGTTCGCGGTGGTACTCGTGGCTACAACGAGTCTACGGCGGCAAAGTGCCGCTTCCGCTCGACTTGCAGTCGCTCGGCGTCTTCACGATGCCGACTAAAATGGCCAGTGCCACCTTCTTCAACCGGGCCTGTGATGGCCGCCCTGCGCCGGCGCCTGCGCTGTGCACGCAGTGGCTAGCTGAGCGACGTCGGCGTGAAGTGCGCACTTTGCGGCTGCCACGCGGCCTCAGCAAGGACCACGAGCGCTCGGCTCGTGCCACAGCTTGGACGATGAGTCCGGCTGATGCAAAGAGGGCCGGCCTTGAGACTTTTACGACGGTCAGGCTGCTCACCCTGCGAGATGGCTCGGTCGTCCGCTTCTTCTTTGATTCGAGCCACGTCGGCATATACCGCACACCAAACATGCTTGCGCCGCCGCCGCCGTCTCCGAACGGTAGCTGGATCGAGGTGCTCCGTGAGCCGGCGCCGGAGGCTGCTGGCTACGGGTGCTGGTTCTACCCGCTCGTCAAGCCGTTCAGCCGCGGGAGTGGAGTGTTTGTCAACCTCGGCCGGACCCTTGCCTTTCCCAGCCGCGCAGTGGCCATGAGGACGCTCAAGGTGCCGGGCTCGAGGGACGACGAGTTTTGGGCACGGGAGGCGGCGAGGCGCGGCTACGACTCCATCCAGCTCCAGCGAGGTCCCTTTGGACCGCCGGAGATCGTCATCACCACCGGCGAGTGCATCGGCGAGGCGCGACTGCCGACACACACCGCCTGCCCGCTGCCGGTGCCTCTCCGCACGGGGTGGGACGCCAGCGCACCCTGCGAGTGCTCGGCGGCACACTCGCGGCAGTGGGTCAGCTGCGGCAGCCGACAACGTCAGTGGCCAGGTCGAATGGACGATGCGGCAGCCGTGCGCAGCGCCGGCGGTGTCGCCGACCAATCGCGTCACAGTTCGAACGGCCGAGGCAGAGGGCGAACGCGAGGCGCGGTGGCGCTCGCCACCCGCCATCTGGCAGAGCTCCAAGGCGGTACGCCGCCCGTGGATGCGTGGCTGCGGTGTCGGCGAGAGATGCTCTCTGCAGGCGTCACTCCGCGAGCCCTGCTGCTCGTGGCGAGGCACAGAGAGGCGGTGCGCTGGCTCTCGGACCTCCCTGCCGACGTCTGCGTGCTTGTCTGCACCGCCGCGCCGGAGAGGGCTTCCGCGCGGACCCTGTCCCCCTCGCCTCGCGTGGCCGCGTTTGTGGTTCGCAACACGATTCGCGAGGCGTCTTGCTACCTGCGCGTGCTGGGCGACCTCTTCAGTCTCCCGGCGGAGAAACTGCCGCCGATGCTGGTGGCGACGCAGGCGCACCCACACTGCCGCGACCCGGCAACCAATGGAGGTGCAGGGCTGCAGCCGTCGCGTCCACAAATGGAGTGCGCGAAGTCGACCCGTCCTGTTTGTGCTGGGCGCCCGTAGGTCCGCTCTGCGTAGCAGAGCTGCAGCAGCAGCTCGCAAACACCAGCGAGGCGCGCGCGCGAGGAGGGAGCCTTGCTGCACACGGCGTGAGCGTATGCCCCTCCCCCCAAAAGGCGTCGCTCGAGGCCCGAGGAGGCTTCTCCATCATTGGATCGCTGCGTCCGGACTCGCGTTTCTCGGACGACGTCTTCGGCGCCGGCGCGAGTACGCACTGGCGCACGTGCGTGCAGCGGCATGTCGCCCAGATGGCCGGGGTGGAGGAGGGCGGCGCGCTGGCGCTGCTGCAGGCGTTGCGTCGCTCCGCCATTTTCCAGATCGGCGCGCAGTGGATCGCTTCCAAGGGAGCCATCCTGAGGCTGCGTCGCTGCGGGGCGTTGCAGTCGTGGATCGCCAACATCCGAGCCGCGGCTGCTGCCGCCAACGCCGAGCCCAGCGATGCGCCAGGGTACAGCTTTTCCGCGTGCTGCGACGCGCCGCCGAGCGGCAACGTGCGCAGCTGCCACCCGTGGCGAGCCCGTCGACTTGGTGCGGCGGCGCGGCCGTCACCGCGACGTGAGGCGTGCAACTTCGACACCTTGTAGGCTCCTCGAGCGGATTTGGCAGGCTCTCTTCCACCTCGCCGCCCTCGCGACCGAAGAGGAGGGCGAGCATGGGTGCGCGGCAGACAGTAGGGGCTTGGCGCCGCTGCTGGGCCGGCGGTCCGTGCGGTGGGCGCAGCTGAGCAAGGCGGCCGACGGGTTCGGGGCGGCCGCGCGGGAGGCGGCCGTGGCGGAGGCGTGGGCGCTCGAGGAGCTGCAGCAGCTGGCCGGCGGCGCCCGCGATGCGGCGCGACTGCTTCCCAAGTGGGCGGCCGCTGAGCGTGAGGGCTTGCGGGCCCACCTCTCGTCGCCCCTCTGCCGTAAACCGCCGGCCGGGCTGTGCCCCCGCGTCGACGGGGCCGGCCGAGCGCTCACCCTTAAGGTGCGAGGGCTGTCGCGGCGCGCGGCGGGGGCGACGGCTGGCCGCGGCGCGGTTGACGACGGCGCCATGTTGAAGGAGCTTCAGGCGCTCGCCACGGCCGCGACCGCCGCGCGCCGGCGCGTCGCGCAGCTGGACGCGGCGCAGCGAGCGCGGCTCGACGGGCTGCTCCGGGACCGCCAGCCCTTGCTGCCGACGGGCGCCGCGCAGATTGGGTCTGGCGGGCCCTCGCCGGCGGGATTGGCCAAGAGGCTGGGAGCACTGGCGGCGGAAGTGCGACACTAGAACCGTACTAGATTCAGTGCAAGAAGATGCACCCCCCCCAGCCCCCACTTGTTGAGTCCATGTGCTCAGAGAAAGAAAAATGTGAAATCAATAAGCGGAAGACCGGTGTGTCGGTTGAGGGTTGTGGGGAGGCTGTCGCAGTGAGAGCTCCGTGGAGGCCGAGGAGGCGCCGGGCCGGCCGGGCCGCCTCTGCGCGCTGTGCGGCCCCGGCGGTGATGGGCGAAAAAGAATTCCCGGCGCCCGCAAGTCTACCATCGCTCCCCTCCGATTGACGACCGGCCAAGATGGGCTCGATGGGCTTGGACGACCTGCTGTCCGCGTTCGCTGGAGTGAACATGGACGACCACGAGCAGCTTGTCGGCACCTTTGCCCGCGTGCTCGGTGCCGACGCCGACCAGTCGCGCTTCTTCCTCGAGGCGTCGGCGTGGAACCTCGAGTCGGCCGTGGGCAACTTCCTGGACACGGTGGGCACGCGGGCCAATCTCGCCACGCCCTCAGCGGAGCCCGCCTCCGCCTTCCGCGGCGAGGAGAGCGTCCAGCAGGTCAACGCGCACGTCTTTGCGCCGGGGCAGCCGATCCAGCTGGTGTGGACGTTTGTCAACGTGGGCCCAGCGCCGTGGCCGCTGGACGCCGCCCTGGTGCACACCGAGGGCGACGCGCTGGGCGGGAACCCCGAGGTCAGCGTAGGCGGCTGCCAGCCCTCGGTCGAGGCGCCCGTCCAGCTCAACTTGCGCGCTCCGGCCTCGGCCGGCAGCTACGCGAGCGCGTGGAGGCTGCGGTACTCCGGCGGCTACTTTGGCGACGCGATCTGGCTGGTGGTGAACGTGGACGGCTCGTTGCCCCCCGCGGCGCCGCCAGCGGCGATGCAGCAGCCCTCGCACGAGCAGCAGATGCAGCAGATGCAGATGATGATGATGCAGCAAATGCAAATGTCGCAGCAGCAACAGCAGATGCAGACGGGGTTCGGGCAGCCGCAGCCGCAGGTGGGGATGGCGCAGCCGGTCGACGACGAGGACATGGACCTGTGAGCGCACCGAGAACACGCCGTGCGCGGAGGAGGGAGCGAGGGAGGGAAAGAGGAGGCAGTTTTGAGAGCCCGCTGCCCCGGGAGGCGCAAGGTTCGCCTCTCCGCACTGTGGAGCCGTCTCCCCGCTACACACAACCGCCTGTCCACACCGGCACACGCTGAGAGTCGGTGCGGCGGAGCGTTCGTGGACGTCAAGCGGGGAGAGAGTCGATCACGGCGTGGGGATCTTGGAGTACTTGGATCTCTCGCCAGCTCTCGGAGTCGCCCGCGGCGGGGTTTTGAGGAGTGTTGCGCTGTGGGTCTCGTATACGGGAAGTACGGGAAAGCGGGTGAGCAGCATTCTCCTTGTTTTCCCTTTTTTCTCGTGGACGAAAACGCGTACACGGTAGTCGGTACACGATATCACGCAACACGCTACACCGCGCACCAGGCGGGCGGGCACACGGGCACACCCACACACGGTTATAATGGGATTAGGGGATATGGGATATGCGTATGGTCGACGTATCACGAGAAACGGATAAGACTCGAAGACTACGAAGACAGGTCACAGCGCCTGACGAGTGACGTGATTCGTGATGGGTCAGTCAGTGATGCTGACGCAGACGTCGGTGGAGATGTGGTCCACCCATACCGCGCGCTGGTGTCCTACATACATTGACATACGCAGAGACGAATAAGACGAGCCCGACGGTCTACACTGACAATGCGAGGCACAACTAAAAAGACCAAAAAAACTTCTTGCTGGGTTAAATTCTTTTTCGCCTTCGCGTTGCTGGCGCCCGGCTTGGGCTTGGATCCTTCTTCGCGCTCGCGTCGGCACGGAGCTCTCTGACAGCGATGAGGCTGCTGTCCGTGCTGCTCCTGTCGCTTGCGACCCTGTCAGCCGGCGCGGGCACCGCTGACCAGTGCCTCGAGCACGACTACGCCATGAAAAACTGTGCGGCTCGCGCACATTGTCTCCCGCGATTGTCTCCCGCGCCCACTCCCGCGCCTCGCGTGCGTTGCAGATAAAGACTGCTGTGCCAAGGGCGGCTACAAGGTGGAGGGCCGAGGGGTGGTGTGCAAAGAGGTCGGGCCAAAGGTCAAGGCGAAGCGAGAGCTGCGCTGACATGGTACGTGCTTGATCAACCGAGAAGCGTGAGCGAGGATAGTGCGCAGCGCCCGGACTGGCGCATGTATTAGTCGTCTAGAGAGATGCACACGGTCGCAGTAGAGCCGTAGGCGAGCACGGACTACCGGTCTAATACAAGGGGGACGCAAATAGACGAGAGGGAAACGGCACCGCGAGAAGAGAAGATCGTGGCGCGTCGCGCTCAAAACTCACCATAAACCAGAAACACTCCTCAGACCTCACTGCTCACTGCTCACACGTCGTGTCACACGAGTCCTGACTCCTCTGGCCGCGGCCAAAAAATAGCACGAGCGAGTACCTCGTCCCGCGAGTGGTTCGGCTGACGGCGTGCAGCAGCTCGGACGGGTGCACGGTCGCCTCCCCCATCGCGCGATCGATCCGCTGCACGCGCCCTCCGAGCATGGCAAGCAAACGGCCGCCCCCGTGGCTGCCGTCGTCCGCGAGGGCCACGTTCACGGTCGCGGTGGCCGTGTCGCCGTGGAACGTGAACCAGGGCCTCTCTGCCGGCGTGAAGCGCCGCACGAAGGTCCTGTACGGCCGCTCGCCCGCGCTCGGCAGGCTGCTCACGCCCCCCGGCGAGGCCTCGGTAAGCCCTCCCTCGGCCGGCCCTCCCGCTGCCGCCATCTGTGCCGCCAGCGCGCCGGGCAGCCGGCAGAGCGCCTCGAGGGCGGGCCGGCCGACGAGCGCCTCGAGCTGCGCCGCGGTGAGGTCGACTTGGTGGTCGGCGAGGCCGTCGACGCTGTCCGGCCTACCAGCAAGCCGTGCGACGGAGTGGGGTGGGTGGAGGGGTGGAGAGGAAGGGTGGGTCTGGCCCCTCGCCTCTGCTGGGCACTCGAGTCGACCTTGTCACGCAGCGCAGCGCAGGCGCGCGCGTCGAGCACTCCGGCAGCCCGCAGCATCAGCCTCTCGGCCGGCCCTTCGAGCGCCGCGGCGGCGCGCTGGTACTGCCGCCACGGCAATCGCATCGCCTTGAGGACGGCCGCCGCCGAGACGGCTTCGGGCGCGTCGCCGTCCACCAGCAGGCGCCGGATGGGCCACGCCAGCGCCGAGGCCTGGTCCGTGAAGCCGGGAGGGATGCCCTCGGGGAGCGGGCGAGCAGCGCCGGCGGTGGCAAAGTCTGCCACCGTGTCCTGCACGCTCCGCCCGAGCCCGCAGCGGCTCTGGAGCAGCGCCTTCGCTCCGCCAACCTCGCCTGCTGCCTCAAGCAGCAGCGCGAGCACGTCAGCGTGTCTAAATTGAGCCGCCAAATGGGCCGCAGTTGCGCCGCGGCGGTCTCGGGCACGCCAGTCCGCGCCATGGCTCAAGAGGAGACGTGCGATGCCGGTGTGACCATTCCACGCGGCGTGGTGCAGCGGGCAGAGCGCGTGCTCGTCTCGGGTGCTTGCGCTCGCGCCGTGCCGGAGCAGGGTGCTCGCAACGTCCTCAGAGCCAGCCGAGCACGCCTGCATCAGCAGCGCGTCGATGTCGTCGTCTTCCGAGTCGTCACTCGACGCGTCACCGCTCGCCGCATTGCTGCGGTCCGGAGCGCCGTGGGCCAACGCGGTGCTGGAAGGCATCGACCCGCGCACGTGTGCCCTTGTGAGCCAATGCGCCCCCACCCGGCGGTTGTTTTGTTTTTCCGGCGGCTAGGTCCTATCTCACGCCCACGGAGCTGAAGAAGAAATCTGCGGGAGACAACATGGGTGTGGCTTCTCTCCTTCTTGTCCGGTCTCAATGTCCCACCCTCCTGCGCACGGGCCTTGTAGGCCCGCGGTAGTCTCCCCCCGCCAGGGCCTCCAGGGCTCGCACCTCAACCTCTCACAGACCACGCAGAGCGCCCCGGGGGCCACGGCCATCTTTCTTCACAATAAGGCTGTGAACAGCAACAGGAAGCCGCCGAGACAAGCACGGTTCTCAAGTTGGGCCCTCTCGCACCTCAACTTAGGCAGGCTGAACAAGGTTTTCCTCTCGCACTTGGAGCACTTGGAGTGCAGTCATCAACCGCACATCCAGGGCCGGGGAGCTCAGAAGCGCACCCAGCGGGCCGGATGATTGGCATCGGGTTACGGGCTAGAGAGCCCTAGCCCCGGGGGTGCGCGTTCGCAGGGCAAGGGCCTTAAAGTAAACACAGTTCTCCGAGGGTTGGACCCGCGTACCGGGTTTCCCCTTAACTGCAGGACGCCCCCTCTACTCGGAGCTAGTGGACATTACACTGGACACCACGCCCAAACAGACACTTGCTTAGTCCTCGGTCCCGGGGCTCCACCTTCGGTCCTCCCGGGGCTCCGGTTCTCCCCGATTCGCTCTCTTGCTCGCTTGCCGAGCGTCATACGACGGCCGGTGTGGTCGTTTCCCTCGTTGTTGGTGTCGCTTCCTCCGCTGCCGCCTTTCGTCTTCGCTAGCCTCTCCCAGCTCCACCGGTTCTGAGAGTGTCGGCGGCCCGGCCGGGGTCACCCCGGGTGAGAACGGTGGCATTGGGTCGCGACCAGTTCCACCCCCGGGGGGTCGAGCCCGCTCTCCCTGGTTGTCTCGCGCCCGCACCCGCGGCCTCTCTATCGTCCTCGGCTCGCCCCCCCCCTCCGCCGGCTCCTCTCCAGGCTCGGGGGGGCGTGGCCCTCCCTGTGGAAGGTCGTGGTGGTCCGGTTGCCACTGCGACTGGCCTTCCCCTGGTGAGCCCGTACGTCCCGACTCCACTCTCAGAGGCCGCGTCAGCTCATCTCTCGCCTCCTCCGACAACTGACCCCAAGTCCCTTCCGGGGCCCTCCGGTCACGGCCCTCCGGCTCGCCGGTGGGCCCACTATCGTACCGCGGTAACTCCCCTCCCCCATCTCCTCCGCCCGGATACACCAGCCTCCGGCGGGGCGGTCCCGGACCCCCCAGGTTATTCCGAGCGGGTCCATACGGCGGCGGCCCCGCCGGCGGCGGGGGTGGAGGCGGTGGCAGGGGCGGCGGGTACGGTGGCGGCCCTCGCGGCCCAAACGTCTGGTGTGGGGCCGCTGGGGCGGCCCCACGACCCTGCAGCCGTTCCAGTGGCGGGGGTGGAAATGGCAGTGTGGGTGGCGGAAACGATGGCGGCACTGGCGGCCGCACCGCTTGGTGCAGAACCTCAGGGGCGGCTCCTCGACCCAGCGGTCGCTCCAGCGGCGGGGGCGGAGGTGGTGGTGGCGGGGGCGGGCCCGATGGCGGCGCCGGCCGCCGCACCTCCTGGGGCGGGGCCTCGGGGGATGCCCCCTGCCTCTGCGGCCATTCCAGCCGTGGCTCCACGCGTCGGCCGTCCACCCCGCTCTCGCACCCCGTCTCTTTTCCTTTCCTTTTTTCTCTGTAGCACCCTCTCTTTTCCTCTCTATTTTCCCGGGAAAACCATCAAATTTTCCGGGCTCTGAGCCGAGCGAGTCTGAGGCTGGTTTGGGCCCAAAATCCTGCGCGATCGCGTATTATGATCGGTGTGAAAACAGCATACAGCATCAGAGCCCGGAGCCGTGTCCGATAACACTACCTCTCGCAGAAATCAGCCAAATCGGCAAAATACCGGGTATTTTGCGGGTATACCTGGAAAACCCCGGGTATACCTGGAAATTACCCTGCGACCGCCTGGGTATTTTGTTTGTCGATTTCCTCAATTTTGCGTCAGATTTTGCCCCAGACCAGCTCTCAGACTCAGGGAAACTCGCGAGTTTCCAGAATGGAGCACCAAACACCCTCTGTTTTCCCTGGAAATTTCCGGAAACGCAAAGTGCTGGAGACCCTCTGACCTCTGTTTTCCTTTTTGTTTGCCGGAAAAGCTTGTGCAGGCCAAACCTCAACCTCTCATCACAGACCACGCACAGCGCCACGGACGAACTTTCTTCACAATCACCAGGGCCTTAGGTTAGGTTAGGTAGAAAGGTGAAGAACAGCCAGGCTAGGGCCACGAATGCCAGGTTCTCCAAGGCTGTGAACAGGAAGCCGCCGAGACAGCATTACGACAAGCACAGCATGTGAGCCGACTGCTGCCAGCCTCTCCGCCCCCCTGCCTGTTGCCGAGCAGCGGCCGGGTCGCCACGGGGAGGGTGGCGCACGTGCTGCGTGCCTCCCGGCCCGCAAATCCTGCGGCGCAGAGCCCGCCGCCCTGAACGCCGGCCTTTCTGCTGGCCCGCGCCCGCTGCCTCACGCTTCCAAGCCCGGCCACCCCCGCGCTGCGCAGGGCGCGTTACGACCGCGCGATCACCGTCTTCTCGCCGGATGGCCACCTCTTCCAGGTCGAGTACGCGATGGAGGCGGTGCGCAAGGGCACCACTGCGGTCGGCGTGCGGTCAAAGGACCACATCGTCTTTGCGGTGGAGCGCAAATCGACCGCGAAGCTGCAGGACCCGCGGACGGTACGAAAGATCCACAAGCTGGACGAGAACATCGTGCTCTCCTTCGCCGGCGCGTCCCTCTCCCCCGCCCGGGCGGCAAGACGTCCGAGGGGCGTCCGCCGGCTGACGTCAGCGCCCCGCCGCCGCAGGCCTGACGGCCGACGCGCGCGTGCTGATCAACAAGACGCTAGTTGAGTGCCAGTCCTACCGCCTCACCTTTGAGGACTCGCCCTCCGTCGAGTACGTCGCCGAGTACGTCTCCGGAGTGCAGCAGCGCTACACGCAGAGCGGAGGCGCACCACCGCCGCCGCCCTCCCCCCTCCCCCTCCCCCCCCCATCCCGCCCTCGTCCTCGCCCTCGCCCTCGCCCTCGCCCGCCCCCTCGCCCCCGCCCTCGCCCTCGCCCTCGCCCTCGCCCTCGCCCGCCCCCTCTCACCCGTCCTCACCCCGCCCCCCCCCTTCCCGCCCCAGGCGTGCGCCCGTTTGGAATCTCGACGCTCATCATGGGCTTCGACCGGGACGGGACGCCGCAGCTCTTCCAGACGGAGCCGTCGGGCAACTACACCGCCTGGAAGGCGGTCGCGATCGGGCGGAGCCAAAAGACCGTCAAGGAGTACCTCGAGAAGACCTACTCCGAGGAGACGGCGGAGGCGCAGCAGCCGCCACGCCCCTCCCCGCCGCCACGCCCCTCCCCGCCGCCACACCCCTCCCCGCCCTACGCCAGAGCCGTCGCGCGCTTCTCCCCCCGCCCCCACCCTCGCCCGTTTTGCCCCCACATGCACATGTGCACACATGCATGTGCGTACGCCGCACCGGGAGCCCGCCCGCCCGCCCCGCCGCCATATTGCACACACCCGCCCTCCCGCTGCCTGCTGACCCCCCCCCCCCCCCTTGTCGTCAACCCGCCAGGACGGCGTCAAGCTCGCGTGCCGTGCGCTGCTCGAGGTGGTCGAGGCGGGCGGCAAGAACATCGAGGTTGCGGTGCTGCGGCAGGGCAAGGAGCTGCAGCTGCTGGGCGACGACGAGGTGGAAGCCATCGTCAAGGGCATCGAGGCGGAGAAGGAGGAGGAGGACAAGAAGAAGAAGAAGCCGTCCGAGAAATGAGCGGCCGCCGCGACGCTCGGGATAGCGAAGCAGCGCACCGGGGACGCCGCCGGCGGGGCTCGGCTTTATACTATTCACTGTTCGTGTCGTCGCATGCTGGGCCCGGGGCGTCTCCCACCTTGAAGTGGTTCAGCTTCAGCGGCCCCCTCTCGCCTTTTTCCCGCGCTTTGCCGCGCCGAAAAAGCACTGTGTGAATGAACGCGCTCTGCCGGTCGGAACGTTTCACTTTCAGCAGCTGCCGATGCCGCCCTCGCACGCATCGGGTACTGCCACCGAGGAGAAGAAGCGACAGGGCAGCGGCGGTTCGTCCGATCGTGGCGATTCAAAGCTCTCCCCTGGGAAGCGCAACGGCGCGCTCCATGTGCCCGGAGGTGCTGAGGAGCACTGGAATGCGGTGATGAAGAAGCTGTCGCCGGCCGGGTACAGCCACTCACCGGCCTGGCAGCGCAGCATCATCGAGCGGGTCGTGCAGAAGATGACGACCCGGCCTGCAAACACCTCCCGCGTCGCTGCCTCCACCCGCTCCTCCCTCACGCGCACGGTCGACCTGGGCGCCATCGGGATTGCACCAGAAACCGCTGCGGCTCTGCAGGCGGAGGAGGAGCGAGTGGCGCAGACCATGCTCGAGACGAGCGTGGGGTCGCTGAGGAGAGGCTCCACCGCAGGCCAGCTGCCGGCGCAGAGGGATCTCGCCGAGCGGCAGAACCAGGTGCACACTTACGCGCGTGCCATCCAGATGGAGCAGCTGCAGGAGCAGGAGCTCGACACCGAGATGCAGCAGATGAACGCGGCGGTGGTACAGGCTGAGAGGGCCGCGGGCGGTAGCCTGGCCTCGATGATGGACCAGAAGGCTAAGGCCGCCAGGCAAGTCGCCATCATCCAGAACCGCTGCACCCAGCTCGCCAAGAAGGCGTCCGAGACGGTGGCGAGCAACCAAGCTGTCCGGCGTGAGGTCGACCGGCTCCGGCGCGAGAAGGTTGCCCACCAGCGGACGCTCGAGCGGCTGAGTGCAAAGTCAACCAAGATGGACGAGGACATCGTTTTTCTCACGCAGGCGGCGCACGACGCGCTCGATCAGCGGGAGAAGGTCAAGAGCAAGTTCATGGCGCTCCAGCGCGACGTCAACTGGGAGCGCAAGGAGAAGCTGTCGCAGATCAAGGACGTAGCCTCGCGCACCTCAGAGCTGGAGGGCGACTGGGGCGTAAAAGAGCGCGAGCTGGCGGAGGCGGAGGAGGAGCGGCGGCGCCGCGAGTACATCTCGAGCCGCAGCCGGCGCGGCGAGCTGGAACGGGCGGAGACGCGGTTCGGCTTCCTCGCCAACCAAGCGCTCGGGTGGGACGCCGAGTTTGAGCGGCTGCAGAGCTTCTCAGGCATGGACGAGAAGTACCAGCCGGGTGAGGACCACATCGTCGACTCGATTGCCAACCGCTTCCTCGAGAAAGAGCGCTCCAACACCTCGCTCCAGCGGTACCTGCACGAGCAGCAGTCGGAGCTCGCGGCGCTCACCGGTGAGCGGCGGCGCCTGGAATCTTCGGTGCGGGAGCTGCACGACACCTCGGAGGGCCTACCCGCGGACGAGCGCGATGGTGAGAGCAGCGAGGGAGTCGACTCGGGACAGAACCACGCCGGGCGGGGCGCACGGGTGGAGGCCCTCCTTGCCGAGGCTGGCGTCTGCGTCGAGAGGATCACGCAGTCGATGTGGAAGGGCGGCGCCCCGTGCGACGCCGATGAGGCGTGCTCAACCTCCTCCATCGAGGCGTGGCTTCAGCGGCTAGACGTCCGCGTCGCCGAGGTGCGAGGCTCGTCGGCGGCTCTGGTGGCGCTTGCAAAGGAGGTGAACCCGGTGCTGGTCGAGTGGTGCGGCGCGCGGCAGCCAAAGCGGCATGTCTCGACGCCAGATATCCATGAGGCGCTCCTCCTCCAGGCGCAGCGGCAGGAGGCTGGCGTCGCGTAGAGCATGTGGGGCGGGTGTGGGGTGGTTAGCCTCGTGTGCGGGGTCGGCGTGGGCTCGTCCTGCGTGTGTCGTTCACCACCGCTGACGCAGTGGGGGGCTGGCTAATACCGACTATGTTTCATTAACTGTTTTGCTTCGAAAGCCCCCTCGTTGCGAATAATCTGGAGCCTGCGCTGCGGCGTGGAGGGCCGTGCTGCCGATGTTCTTGCATGTTGGATTTCTTTTTACTTTTTACAACACTGGCGCGCACACTGGCACAACACAGGTACACCGCACTGGCACTAACACAGGTTCACCGTGTACCTGTGTCAGTGCCAGTGCGCGCCAGTCCCGGGGCTAGTCGGACAACAAATTTTTAATGGCCGATTTTTCCCTCTCGACAAACATATGCTCTTGCTCTCCGCGCTTGCCTACCCTGCGGCGCCCCCGTCCGAGGTTCTCCGACCTCCAGCTTCAGAGCGGCGCGAGCTGCTGCGTGTCCGCTCCGGGCACACACCGTTAGGATCGTGGGAGGAGACGACCAACGAGCCGATGCACAAGACGGTCTGCGATGGCCGACCGTGCCGCCCTGGCGAGGGCAATCGTGTGGGTTATGAACACTGGAAGCAGCCGTACCGGCCGCTCGACGAGGCTGTCGTACGCGCGCTCTCCAAGAAGCCGCCGCACGGACCCGATGGTCCGCAATACGCCAAACTTGTCGCTGCCGCCGGCCATCTTGCGGATGCCAGCAAATTCATCGCTCTGGCCGCCGCGGACTTCGACTACCGCGAGCTGGCTGAGAACTGGCACGCCGCCGCCGCGCGCTCCGGGGTGAGATGCGCCCTGCTGTACGCGCTCGACGCTCCGGCGCACGCTCACCTCACTGCGCGGCTCGGCGCTGCGAGCGTCGTCAACGGCACGGCGAACCTTGACGCGTGGGCCACGACCAAACTGATGCGCCACATCCAGCGCGCGCTTGCGGAGAGGCACATGGCGGCCGCAGCCCTCGCCACCGCCGGCTTCGACGTGCTCCTCTGCGACTCAACGGCGGTGAGCCACACTTCCTCACCGCCGCCTCCGCCACGCACCTCCTCACCGCCGTTGCGGCCACCGCCGCCACGCCGCCACCGCCACCGCGGCCTCTTCACTCCCGGCGGCTCCTTCCTCCGCTGCCAGGTGTTTGTGGCCGACCCGCGGCCGCGACTCCTCTCGGTACCCGCCTCCGACGCCGACGTGCTTGTCGGACGCCTCCACTGCAACCGCCCCGGCAAGAACAGGCACTCGCCGCCCCCTCTCCAACCTCGGCCTCTCGAGCTGTCCCTCTCCAACCTCTGACAGGCCGGCGGAAGCTGTCGCCTCTCACGTCCCGGACTCGGGTGCTAGGCTCGGATGTGCCGCTGCGTGGAACTTCCTCTTGCTGCGCGGCGCCTCCGCGTCTCCGCCGCGCCGGAGCCTCGTCGCACGCCTCTCGGTGCGCTCGATCGAGCGCGGCATGGTCGACTTTTATCTGCGCTGGTGGATGGGGCACCACTGCACCTTCATCGGCTTTGACAAGACGGTGGCCGATGCGCGGCCGAGGATCGAGGGCGGTTTCGGCGGTCCTGAGGCGGTTGCCGCCGCGCCGAATGCGGTGGCTCTCGCCACGCTGACGGCGCCAAGCTGGTGCGACGCCGGCGGCGGCAGCTGCTTGCGTCTCGGGCTGCTGCCGATGGACGCATTCCCGCCCGCTGGGGCGTTTGTCTCGAGCCGCGCCACTGCTGTCGTCGGCCGCGCGACAAGGCCGCCTAGCGAGCCCGTCCACAGGCTACGCCTCGACCGGTACGACCAGCGAGACTTTGCGGCCCTGGTGGCGCGCATGGGGGAGGAGGGGCTCTGGCTGCTCGGGTCGTAACAAATAAAATGTGCGACAACTCTGACCTCCTGATATGAACACGTCCACGTCCCCCCTGCACCCAACGATGGGGCATGGGACAACACCAGCGACCAGGCCCTTGGGTCCCGAATGGAATCCAGAGCGCCCTGGGGGCTGCTCGGCGGTCGGCGCGACGGCGACGGCCGACGCGCTCGACCAGGTGGCGGTCTCTGGCAGAGCTCAAGGCCCCTTGTCAAGGGGACGGTGGCGGAGCTGAAGATGGCGGTGGCGACGCGCGACGCGGAGCTTTTTCGTGAAAACCGCGTGGCACACAGATATATAGGTAGGTTAGCCGAGCACGGAGATTGGCCAGTGTGCGGCGTCGACCGCGCGGGACGGCGGGTCGCGGGAGGTCGCTCCTGCAGCAGCTGCACGTCTCGCTCTCGGCGTCTCTCGGGAGTCTCGGGCCTCGCCTTACTACTACGTACTAGTATTTAATACTTACACTTTGCCTTACTGGTGTCGGGGCCGTGCGATGGCAAAGAGTATTCACATGATTTTGTAGAGTAGTCTAGAGTTAGTAGTGACTAAAAAGGGAGATCAAAAACGTCGACGTGAGCTCCCACAGCACCAGTGCTGGGCCGGACAGATGACTGTCCGAGCACGTGTGTGCGCACCAAGTCCGCAACTGTCGACACATGCACTTCCTCCACTGAGCTCTGTATGGCTCTATGCACGTCTCACACTCTCACTCACAAGTCTCTCTCACTCCTCGCTCTCTTTCAGCACGCGAGCCACACGCAACACGCTTCAGATGCCCCGTCACCGGGGGGACTCGTACCTAGACCTGCTCCTCTCCCCTGATCGCGCCTGCGCGCTGAGGGCCGACTATTGTTGAGCGAGGTCGCCTCTTCTCCTGATGGGCACTTGGTAGTGCGTCGCAGTGGTGCGCCCTAGGGCCTCCCTGGCGCGGAAGGCGGCGCACTCCTCCCGGTCCCGTACGGCCGCTTGAAGTCTGAGGTCGGCACGTCGTAAAAGTTGTTGCGCAAGCCGGGCGAGCGGCTCTTCCGCTCGGCGTCGATGGGCGGAGGCGCGTAGGCGGGCCCGGGCACGAAGCCTGCCTGCTCCTGCGCCTTGAAGGCCTCGTACTCTCTCTCGCGGCCAGGCATCGGCGTCT